ATGTGAGAAACATTGTTATGTATAGAATAACTCCAAATATGTGTTTAAAAAAACTTAGATGTATATGTATGTTCATGTTTGTGTCTTAAGTGTGCAGGAAAGAATCGGGAAGGATTCACACCAAATAAAACTCTAGGATAGGAAATAAGAGAAAAGTTGGGATGGAGGATGGATTTTTTTTCTGCATGTTTATGGATTATTTCTATGGAGAATGTGTTTTAACGTAAAATTTTGAGATATAACTAGTTGCACTGTAAAAGGTAAATTGTAGAGATGACTGCAGTTCTCAAGTAGAAAACTGCTGAAGAATCATATTTTACTTTTTCAATTGTGAAATGATCCTGTAATTAAAAAGGATCTGATCATGAAGATTTTGTCTTTGTTTATCTTAGGTGGCTTGTTCTTTTATCAGATTTATTTCAGTTGTGTAGACAAAAGAGGCTGAGATTGCAAACATCAGGAATGAGGATTGTAGAGAACATAAAGAGAATTTTAAGAAGGGATTGGATATGGTAATCATGTGAGGATTGGAGGAAAGAGTAGAGTGGAAGATAGAATTGAGATGGGGGACATAGGAAGAAGAACAGATTTAAAGGAAGATGATATTAATTAAATTAATGATATTGGAGACTGGGAAAAATCTCAGGAAGCCATCTCGCAGATGGTTTGAAAGAACAGTCTGGTGCTCTGGAAGTCACTGGCATTTAGAATTTTAAAATCATGACTTGATAGTTGTGATGACCAAAGGAAGAGTGTATAGAATGAGAGAAGATTCTTAGAGATGGAACCCTGGGGACACTAACATGTAAGGAGCTAGCAAAGCAGCCCCTGAAGCTGACTGAAAAGTTGCACTGGACGGTTGTATCTAACATTTCAAGGGTGAAGATGATGTGATTGATTGGTCAGTAGTGACACATTGCACAGGAAGCAGAAAACATTTAAAATTGTAGTATTAGGGATTTGTGCCAGAATGGGTTGTAGTAGAGAGCCCTCTAGTGGAAGGGAGCATGGCATTTGAGGAACTGGAAGGAGCATGATGAAACTAAAGCTCAGAAAAGAATGTAAATGAGACTGATATTTTTCGTCTTTTGAATGCAGTGTGACCAGTCACTTTCTTATTGGAAAGAAATTAATGGGGAGTTAGTTTTAGTATCTCAGTGTAAGAGAGTTATGAGAATTATATGTGAATTTTTCTTCTTCCCTGTGAAAGGTGGAGAAGAGGTTTTGAAGAGCTAAAACATGGAGAATGACTTTTTTCTTTTTTCATCAGTGGGGGGAGGGAGGGGAGTGAGGGAATTTTTCTCCCAAGGAGAAGTACCAAAGCAGACAGAAAAGAAAAGCAAGTCCTTTTGACACCTAGATCAACTAAAGTTCCAAAGGCTTGAACTAGCTACAGAAGGATGAGTGTTAAAGGAACCTTATCAGCAAGCTGCTAATTTAGAAAAATCACTCCAAAGTGTGTTGTTGTACATATTTAGTTTTTATATGACTCTTCTGGAAAAAACTACTTTATTACTTTATTTTCTGTATATATTATATGAAAATTAATACTAAATTTACAGGGAAGACATTCTTTATTTCCTCCTCATACAAAAGACTAGATAGGAAGATATTCTTTATTACATTTTTTTCCATTTGTTTTATCAGATTGGTTACGTATGGAGAAAGTTGTGGAACAACCTATGTTAATAGTTAACATTGCTTACCTCAGGAGATTGGCAAGAGAAGGCTGAAAGTAACTTCTTTTGGCACATATCTGTTGTTTAACTTCATTACAGTGTTTTTAAAACAACCAATAAAGCATGTAGTGTTTATAGGGAAGGACTAAAAATAAAATAAATTAATACTTATTTGTGGGAAGATTAAGAAAATAATATAAAGGTATGCAATGTAGAAAGAATCTGCCACTCCAAATTCCTATTTTGTATCTTTGGCTATGTAAAAATGTATTTATAAAACTGTATACTTTTTCATTTGTATCATGGTCATCCACATATTGATACATACCAACTGAATTTTTTAAACACTGCATAGAATTTTGAAAACTTTTTGGGGAAACTTTTTTTTGATTGAAATATATATAAAGTGTCCAAGTTTAATTACTTTTACAAAGTAAAGACATGTATAATTACCATCAAGATCAGAATCACTAATGATGCTGGGGCACCTGAGTAGCTCAGTAGGTTGGGCATTTGCCTTCAGCTCAGGTCATGATCCTGGGGGTCCTGGGATGGAGCCCCTCATCCGCTGTCAGGCTCCCTGCTCAGCGGGAGTCTGCTTCTCCCTCTCCCTCAGCTCTTCCCCCTGTTCTTGTGTGTATGCTCTCTCTCTCTCAAATAAACAAATAAATACTTTTTTAAAAATAAAAGACCAGTTAACAATGCCAATCACTACATAACCCCTTTTCATAACACCTCCCAGTTAATTATAATTAACCCCCTTCCCATTAATATAGATAAGTTTTATTTGTTTTTTTAACTGTATATAAATTGAGTAATACGGTTGTGGGTGGCTTTTTTATGTGTATGTCTGACCTTTTATTTGGCCTTTATTATTTTTGTGAAAATTTTTTACACGGTTTCATGTAGCAGTCCGTGGTTTATCCTTTTTCTATTTGGTATGGTACTCTTTAGTAGAATGCATAAATCATGATTTCTATGTATTCTGTTGATAGATGTTTGAGTTGTTTCTGATTGGGGATTATTATGAGTAATGCTCACATAATAAGCCTGTATGTGTACAAGATGTATATGCCTTGTGCCCATGTTTCTGTTGAGTATGTACAAATTTCTGTGCTATATCAAGGAAAGAAATTGTTAGGTCATACAGTATGCATATTTTCACCTTTAGTAGATACTGCCCAGGTGTTTCTCAAAGTGGCCCTGACATCTAACTTTTGTCAGCAGTGTGACAGTTTCATAGACTCTATGTCCTTGCCAACACTTGGTATTGATGGCTTTTTGTTTATTTGATTTGTTTTTGTGTTAGTGTTTGGTTTTAATGGCTGTCTTAGAACATTTTAAAAGTCTGCCCAGTATTTTATTATGGGAATGGACCATAATTTAACTCTTTTTGATGAGCTTTCGCCCTCTTCCTCTACTACAGCACAGCCAGAACCTGGACAGCTCCAATATCCAGTGGGCTCTGTGACTTGTGTGCAGAAGATTCAATACTGAAAGTTTCTGAATCTTTGTATATTCTTTTTTTTCTTAAGAGATTTTTCTCATATTTCCTATTTTTGAGTAGTATGGTACCAATATGAAGAATCCATATAAAATAGTTTCATTTTATGACATGAAAACCATGTTTTATTTTATGGTGGTAAATGATTGTTTTTTTCACCCTTGTTTAAAAGTAAGGTCAAAAGGGATGCCTGGGTGGCTCAGTGGTTGAGCCTTTGATTCAGGGCATGATCCCAGAGTCCTGGAATCAAGTCTTGCATCAGGCTCCCTGTGAGGAGCCTGCTTCTCCCTCTATGTCTCTGCATCTCTGTGTCTCTCAGGAATAAATAAAATCTTAAAAAACAAAAAAAAAAGTAAGGTAAAAAGTAGAATAAAGTCTGAAACTAGACTCTTGGTGAAAGCATTGCTAAATGGCTAATTTAATTATATGGAATAATTTGCATTCTCTTAGAACAAGCATACAGTGCTAGCTGCTAACACCTGCATCTCATTGAATTGTAGTCCACTGGAAAACTACTGTGTGAATTACTTGAGAATGTCATCACCTAGGTTTTGGAAAACTGTTTGACTTTCATCTTTTGAAAGTGAAAGTTATTTCCAGTCAGAAAAACTTGCTTGAAAAACTCCAACCTTTCTTTTAACAATTCTCCTCTCCTCAATTTCCTCAAATTGTCTTGTAACATAGGTTTTTAAGGTATGAAACTCTGGGGGCTTGCTTTTAATGAATTCAGTGTGATCACCAGCCCTCCTCTTTCTTTCATGTTAGGAGGTGTGTTATTTCATGATAACCATTCTTCCTGTTGTGCATTATATAGCTTTAAATGAGTGTTGGCACAGGTGGCATTCAGTACCATCCAGTTACCATAAGTAATTCCTTGGGAGAATTTAGTTACTGTTAACCCTCTATGATAGCTGAACAGTCTTTTGCAAAGTACCTCGGGTATGTGAGACAGTTTTATTTTCCCTATTACTCTTTGCTTTTGCCAGTTGTATGTTGAATTACTCATTTTTTTGTATAGCTATAATGACCAGAAGAAGCATGTGATTCTCATACTAGTAAGTTTTAGTCATGGTTTTTTACTTTCAAATGTGGAGGTTTTTCACATTTCTAATTAATTGCTGTCAAGAACTTCTTAGAGGTAGCTGAAAACTACTGCTTTATATTCTGTTCAGTTTTTTTTTTAATAAGTTTGTGTCTTAGAAGAATGTCTTTACCTCTTGAGATTTCTTAATAGGTCGTATTGTAGCATAACTCTAAAATTCTTCCAGTTCTTTGTTACCTGTGGTAATAGTAAGGAGTCTGAAAATGCCTACATGAATTAACAAATAAGCTAGAAACCTTATTGAAGAAGCTATTTTCAATGACCTCTCCTTTCTCAGTCCCTAAATCTTTTTTCTCAGTATTGATAATGAATAGCTAAACTTGCTGGCTTGATTTTTTTTTTCCTTCTTCTTGTATCTGGTAAAAGTTCTAATATTCTAATATTCTCAACCAGGATTGGGCTTCAGGTGGTGGTAGTAGTAGGAGTACAAATCTAATCAGCTTCCAACATACAACTAGTAAGAATCTCTTTATCTCACATGAACTTAGCTTATAGATTAATTTTAGAGACCACTTTCAAGTCTTGTTTAATAAAATGCTTTGATGTCTAGTAGATAATTTCTGAATATATTCTAGCCAGTGCAGTCATTTACAAAAAAGTTCAATATTAGAGAGTTTGCTCATGGTGCTTTGTTATATAGAGTGACTCAGAGAATAAAGCACGCAGTAACCTAGAACCAACAGTGCCCTCACAGCTGTTTCTCTCTCTGCCATAGGTATCAGCCAGAGCCGGATCTCTCACTGGCTGTTGCAGCAGGGATCAGACCTGAGTGAACAGAAGAAAAGAGCATTTTACCGATGGTATCAACTTGAGAAGACAAACCCTGGTAAATATCATTTCTTCATTTTATTGCATCTGAAACAAGACAAATGTAGTTAATTACTTTATTAAATCTATGTGCTGACTGGTCTTCACTAAGGTGATTTCATACTTTACTGTTGTTCCTTTTTCCCTGAGAGCACTCCTGTCTACAGCCACATCACCCTGAATGTACTCCGTCTCATCCAAAGAACATTGACTGTAAAACCTAAACCCTGACAATACCATTTTTTAACTTAGTGTCTAATACTATCTAGTCATGTTCACTCCTTCCTCCAAGGCACCTCTTTGTTTCCAGGTTGTATGCTATTTTTAACGATAGTTTCAAAGACAGGTCATGATTGTCAGTGGCTTCTTTCTATTTTTCGACTAAAGGTACACACATAAAGATTCCATATCTTTTTTGGGGGTGGGGTAAATGTTATTTTAGTTAGTAATGTAAAATTCATACTTTTATTTGGTTATTGCTATACTGTGTCCAGTGATCTCTGCTAATGATTTTTTGTTCCTAATTACCTGGGTGATAAGCATGTTTTCGGACTTTAGAGTGAAGCTGCTCTCATGACTTTGGAAGCAGCAATAGGTTGAAAAGTAGAATGAAATGTGAAGGAAAAAGATCACTGAAACCTTTATGTCTGGAGGCACCTGGGTGGCTCCTTGGTTGAGTGCCTGCCGTTGCCTCAGGTCATGATCCAGGGGTCCTGGGATCGAGTGCCGCATCAAGCTCCCTGTAGAGAACCTGCTTCTCCTTCTGCCTACGTCTCTGCCTCTCTCTGTGTGTGTCTCTCATGAATAAATACAATCTTTATAAAAAACAAAAATAAAACTTTTATGTCTGAAGTTGCCAGGAATAGGCAAGACCTATTGTAGGATACTTTTAACAAATGGTATATAAAGTCTGAAGTTATATGGCAGCCTGTCTTAATCTATACATTATGCAGACTGGTGGCAATGAGCGTGATCTCAAGTTTAGCCTTTTGTAATACTATATAGCATTAAAGCCTTTGCTTACTATAGATTAAATCATCAGTTGGAATATTGCATATTGAAGACTTAACTATTAATAGCATTGACTCTGAGGTAGAAATAATATTAGAGAAACGTGTGTGGTAAGATTTTTTTTTTTTTTAAAAAAGATCACATTCCTGGTCTGAAAGGCCCAGACAGGACAAAACAGAACAGACATATATCAGCCTCTCTACAATGAAATTTTTATTTACCCTGCCCCCCACTTTCTATTTTGAAATGTTTCAGATGTATGGAAAAGTTCAAAGACCAGCAGAGTGAACACCTGTTTACTTTCTTCTTAGATACAATAGTTATTAACATTCTGCTATATTTGCCTTATCCCTAGAAAATAAATAAATTTAAATATGTACATATATGCATGTATACGCATCTCTTTCTCTTTAGCATTCATAATTGTAGTCCATTACCATAGTCCTGCATAACCACAGTCCGTTACCATATCTAAGAAAACTAATAATAATTCCATAATATCATCTAACATCTAGTTTATATTCATATTTCTCTAATTGTTACAAGTATGTCTTTTTCTTATTAAATAGTATCTGATTTAGATTGACAAATTGGAATTTGTTGTTATGTCTTTTTAGACTCTTAAATCTAGTCACTCAAACTTTTTTTCCATAACAAACCTGTTAAACCATCTAATCTTACAGAATGTCCCATATTCTAGATTTTTCTGTTTCTTCTTAGTGTCAGTTAATTTACTCCTCTATAGCCCCTGTATTTGCTGTAAACTAGAAGTTAGGTTTAGAGGCTTGATTAGATTCAGGTTAAACATTTTTGGCAAGAATACTTCATAGATTATTTAGAGAGGGCATGTAGTAATGTCTACAGTGTACTCTGAAATGCATCAAAATAAAATGGATAAGGAGATGGATAATGTGATAAAGTAAGTAAGTAAAATATATGACTTGAGTATAGATTTTCATCATAAAATTCTTTCATTGTTGGCTGTATGTTTGAAAATTTTCACAATAAAACATTGGAGCAAAATGCTTTGTCGGTAACATTTACCTCATATATCAAGATGCATGTAATGTTAGGTTGTAGCACTGTTCATATGCTAAGTTTGGGCATTTGTTAAAATAATGACCACCAGATCTTGTCTTTGTAGTTTGTAAATAATCCATAGGATGTCATTTAGCCACTGGATGGATAGCCTCTTTGACATCAACCTTTTGTCAGTGGTCTTAGCATCCAATGATGATTATTACCTAAATGAGTTATTCCAGTAGGGATTGCAAAATGATGATGATCTTATTTAAATCAGCTAGCAATTTTTTCTGCAAAGAACTTTCATTTTTAGGTATTCTTCTAATGATAGCTAGATATGTAAGCAAATCTCTCAAAATAATGACTCTTTTGTTGCTGCTATTGGCTAAATGTTCTAAAGCAGCACAATTCAGTGGAAATATAATACAAATAACATGTAATTTAAAATTATCTAGTAGCTACTTTAAAAAGTAAGAGATAGCTAAAATTAATTTTAATAATATATTTTATTTAGAAAATATGTATTAACACTTCAACATTTAATCAATACTTTAAAAAAGTACTGAGGCTTCTTTTTCTCTCTCTCTTTTTTTTTAAGTAAATTCCACACCTAGTGTGGAACCCAATGCAAGGCTTGAACTCAACCAAGAGATCAAGACCTGAGCTGAAATCAAAATCAAGAGTCAGATGCTTAACCGACTTAGCCATTCAGGCACCCATCTTTCTTTCTTCTTCCCTTCCTCCTTTCCTTCCTCCCTTCTTCCTTTCCTTCCTCCCTCCCTCCAGTTCCTTTGTTTCCCTCCCTCTCTCTTTCTTTTCCTCCCTTCAGTTCCCTCCCTTCCTTCCCTCTCTGCTTCCCTTCCTTCCTCTTCCTTTTTGTACTGATTTTTGAAATTCAGTGTGTATTTTACACTTGAAGTATATACCATTTCCAGTCAGCCACATTTCAGGTGCATTACAATGACCACATGTGGCTACCAAATTGGATAGTCTTAAGATAAATCATACTTGAAGCAACACTTCAAATGCAGCTCTAAGCAGTCTTCCCAAAGACCTCAATCCTCCCATGACTTGCACACAGCAAAGCAAATCAGATGGTGAGTGACAAAAACTTGGCAGTTGGTCTGCTTAATAGAGTAGCTTAGGCTGATAACAAATGTTTGATTAGGTAAATAAGGAACTGTTACCTAGGGGTTTCATAAATGTGGTCACATTTCAGCAGTTGACTGCCAGGGGAGGAACACCAAAGGGATTGTCAACATGTTCAAAAATGTATAAGACAGAACAGTGAAGACTTTGGAGGACAAACATTAGTCAACTGTGTCAGGCAATCAGCTTCCATAAGAGAAGGGATTTTTGTCTCTTGGATTTGGCACTTAGAACAGTGCCTTGATATAATCTAATCACAGTTGGTGAAGCTAAATTCCCATCCCATACTGAGATTTCACGTCTGGGCTCCAATCCCAGGCAGGGACCAGGATACCAGGAAAATGAATTCACCAGAAAGAGGAAGAGGACTAAGGTGCAGCTATCAGGCCCCCACAACTGACCTGATAGCACTGCCAACTGCAGAATACCGCTATTGGAATCCCATTTTTAGCACTGGGGTGGTATAATGTTTTTCTGAAGCTGTTTTATTAAAAGATTATCTTTTTGATTTTGATCTTATTTTTTTACTTCAGTCTGTCTTGAACCAGAGTTAGGCTAAACCATCATCAGGAAATTGGAATGAAGGTGAAACTAGGGCATTGAAACAGGAAAATAGGAAAGGACTAACAGCATTCATCCAGCTGTTGATAAGGAATAGCTTTCTTTAAGGAGACAATACCTCTTTTTTTTAAAAGATTTTATTTATTTATTCATGAAAGACACAGAGAAAGGCAGAGACTTAGGCAGAGGGAGAAGCAGGCTCCAGGCAGGGAGCCCGACGTGGGACTCGATCCTGAGACCGCGGATCATGCCCTGAGCCAGGGGCAGACGCTCAACTCCTGAGCCACCCAGGCATCCCAGTACCTCCTTTTAAGAATAAGTTTCCTAGGGGTGCCTGGGCTAGCTCAGTTGGCAAAGCATGTAACTCTTAATCTGGATTTGAGCCCCATATTGGGTGTACAGTTTCTTTAAAATAAATTTTAAAAAGAAAGAATAAGTTCCCCTAATTATGTGCATTTGCTTTTTAATGAAGTTGTATTACTGATTTCTCCTCATTAAAGGACTTTCTGGTTTTTATTTGAAAACCAAATCCATACAGGTTTTGTAGGACAGAATTTAAAGTTAACAGAAGAGAAGAGGATAAGTTTGTGATTGTCATTTGATAGTTTTCATAGCATCAACAGTAGTCAGATGTTACCAATTAAAATTTAATATTTAGAAGTTATTCTTTGCATTTTTACCTTTATTGTAAGACCTAATATGATGGAATTCTTTCTAGGTGAATGCACCTTTGTTGATTTTAAAATAACCTTTGATTATAACTAAAGAATCATATTGTTTCTTCTCCATGGACACCTGAAATGACTATTCTGTTTGGATAAGATGAACTAAAATTATGTTAGCACCTAAAAAGAGCTTATTCACTATCTGGTCATTAAGTGTTTATAGTATATAAGAATCTTCTTTGCAGCTCATTGCAGAGGTGATTGGAATCTACCTAAATATCTCTCAGTCATGAACTGGTTAAATAAATGGTATATCTGTACAATGGAATAGTATGAAGGCTATATAGCTATTTTTTTTAAAGGAGGGCTTTATTTGAATTGAATTTATATGTGGTAATATCAAATTCATAAGTAAATAAAGTAAGGTGCAAAACAATAGATACAGAATACTGTCTATATATAGAGGGAATACATACACATACATACATGCTTATATAAACATAGAACACTTCTAGCCGGCTGTATTTAGAACTAAAGAAGGCTCTATAGAGCTCTGAGAGACTGGAAATACAGGATGGCAGGGAGACTGTTAACTATATAACATTTTTTG